CCTAGAGTTCTTAACATAACAGTGGAAGCAGTAAGACAGCTTAATTGAGAGGCACATAAATCGATGACTCAGTTTCTAAACTTGTGTAAGTGTTTCGGTGTGAACATAAGCCCAACTTTTTGTACCATCAACGTAATTTAGTGTATCAAGCTTTCTCCATCAAGACGTAAACCAAGAGGGAGAAGACCGATCATATTGAAGCAGGACGATGGTTCAATCCGATCACAGTTGAGAAAAGTTGCACACAACCAATATGGATAATTCGTGGGGAATAATGACAATTGTTTTACGCAACCTTATGAAAAAGAATGACTTAATCTTAACTACACTTGAGGCCATCTGATATGAAGCTGTTATTGAACGCCCAACGAAGGAGAGCACACATCGATTTTATCAGCAAATTCGACTCGCGTCACTCGTCCCTTTGGCGAGGGGTGTATTCCACTGGTTGTTAACGAGCGATATAACAATTGGAGAATGCTGATCTGTTGAACTAGTTTTCCAATGAATTTCTCTCAACTGTTAAAAGAAGTAATTATCTATCCGGCCTAATGAGTTTGAAGGGAGGCAGATACTTGGCAACTTGTTGTTGGTCTACCGCACGTGCCATTCTTGATAGCGCGGAATTTGTCGCACTGATGAGGTAGGTTTTCGATAAATGTCACTCAAGCGTCATTCGCAAAAGTCTTTTCCTGAGCTAAAGGTTAGAGTATCTTATCCAAGCTGACAGTGGAAAACGGTTAGAACTCATTAAATATTATCTTTTCACAGTTAAGCCGTTTCTGTATGAATCAAATTCAACGTTGAATTTATTGTTACCGCTCTGTGTTTAAAACAACAACAAGTTATTTAACTCAGCACTGGTCATCAGTGGCCAGGATGATGCATGTATTAGATGAAACTGGCAAACTCAATTTGACACTCAACCGGTCAGACTGCATGCAAAAACGACTGCCTCCAGTGCGCAAAAATACAGGAGGACAAACAAAACATTGACGAAGTGGAAGTACAATACTTGTATCCTGTTTGTGACCCGTTTTTATAGTCAAATTCTNTCTGTTTACGCGTTCTACTGAGGCTTTGTTATTTTAAACCTCATGCACCAGCAACCACAGATGAAGTCGAGAGATCGTACATTTAAATGTAGTTCGACCAATAGAGGTACAGATATGTTGCGTGCATGATGCAATCCCGTGAATGAGGCCCTAAAAACTAACCGTTGGAAAGAACAAATGTAATGAAAGTAAGGGTGCTGCACAAGTTTGATCAATACGTGTATGTTGGAGACACATTATCGGTTTTTTAACAAACGCATCTAGGTATCAGGGAGAACACTAATTTACCTGAAGTAACCTCTCTCAAAGTATTTCGTCTATGGGACTAAGAAAGAGCACCGAAACCGCTCTCTACTAGAGGATATCAAATTAAAAACTGTAGACTGGCAAAAGACCTGGTATCACTTACATTCCAGTTGGATGTCCCAACGCCTGGCAACCTCCACCGTAGTGGACAGATTGAACAAATCCCACAAATCCCTCGGTCGGTAGATCGGTGCAGTCTGATAATGCGTCTTCGAATAGAGTAGCGACTCTTTTGAACGCCACGTATTCATCACTCGATCAAGCACTTCCAAAGCTGAGCATTAAGTCAGAGAGAGAGAGATGAACAGCAAAATCGTTGCACGTGGAGAACAATAACAACAACAACAACAAGTGAAAAATGCAGTTTAGCGAAAAATCAACAACAACAGTAACCGGATCATTTAAAAAAACAAAGCATAATCATACGCCGATTCAAATCGAAACTTCTTTTTTCGTTCGAATTGATCAAGTTATGATCACTCATTGATGTGAAAGTAGTCTGTATGGCGCATAGCCGACGGGAGCAGATCAATGAAATTTGTGTATTTGTTTTTCATAAGCTCACCTGTGAACAACACAATATTGTTGCAGTGTCTGCCGCATTTGATGTCATCTGTATTCGCCGTGAACACCACAAACCAGTTTTATACATAGGAAGTTCATTTGGGATACAAACCGTTCCAAAATCATTCCCATATACGTTGTTAGCACGAAGGCAAAAACAATGAATTGCTTCAATACATAGGTTTTGAATTGTCGGCACAATACCATCTCATGTATTATTTTAAAGCCAGAAAATGGTTGTGAACTGTTTGGGTAAAATGGTTTGGAGTAGACTTCGTAACACATACTATCAATCGCCGAGCAGTTGTCAACAACAACCTGAACTCTTACATTCTTGATCGCTTTCGAGAAAACAAATGTTAGTTCAGTGTTGGACTATAAAACGCAAGAAAGTAGTTGTAATATTATCACTTATTATTCTTTTTATATCAGTTCAAATAAGATGTTTTTGGAAGGACCGTACAATATGAATGACTTCCATTTTTAACTCACAGTCACTTGTGGGTAGTGGTATGGGCTGAATCGACATCGACTGCCATGCTTCACTTTTTATCTATGCAGTATTCTATGTTTATCGAGTCAGATATGCAATGGGTACGCATCAGTTTCGAATTTAGCTCCTGTTGGAGCTCATCAGTAAAGTATCTCCATCCTCACCGCGAGGGATTCGAAATCCAGATCCCTCACGAAGAAGGCGAGTTGATTTCCACTATGCCAACCAGCTCATGCCGAGTCTGATCAGAATTATCACCTCATCAGTTCAACTATTTTCTTCACAGAGAGAGAGTGTGTGTAATTCAGTTATTGATCAAATAGCTTTGAATGAATGACTGGTTCCACGCTGCATGGTAGTTTTTCCTTTGTTACCATTCGTTCAATATTCTCTGTGGGAAATGTGAACATCGAACAACCTAAGGTCCAACGCGTGACAGTTGCAACCCCGTAATTCATGCCGTCAATCAAGAAAGATCAGAGTTTGGGTGCGTTAGCGTTAGCTTCTATGATTCCTAACACGAGGATCGAAATTGAAAACAAAACCGAATAACTTGCTGTCATCTCAACTGCAATAACTTGTTTGCACAGGGGTGGAAAACGGAGTTGTGGAGTTCCAGTTAATAAATGGGGTCCATCTAAACTGATGCAGTAGAGGAACCTAGTATATGTCGTGGGATCATTTGAACACAACCGGATATCGGACCAAATTTGATAGCGAAAATGTAACCCAGGAGAGAGAAATTGCGGTTCATTGGGTTTAGCGACGTTAAGTCAAATCCTGTGATGAGAATTTAAATTCTGCCACAGCTCTCTTAAATAAGATGTCAGGTAACTGGCCAACTTTACTATAGATTGCGTCATTATTGACAGATGCTGCTTTATTAATATTTATTTCAAATGCCTCAGTAAATCGCTTTGACACAATTACAGTAATCTCGCTCCAGTTCACTGACTTCCCGAACTAGGGGACTTTAGATATAAAAAGCGTTAAAATACAACGTGGAGTGATTCATCGGTAATTTGTGTCTCTTGATAACATTACATCAACCCTCATTTAATGATGATTTAGAGCGCACATTAATGGAATGCCCACTTAATTTCTTAACACATCTTCTTCACAATACCTTACAGGGCTATCTTTTTCCGCTAATCTGGGTAATAAAACAATGGCAATATCAATGCTATCAGGGTGGCTCCGTAGATCGGCTGTAGGCTAGGAATGTGCGGGTTCGAAACCCACCGAGGTTTCTGAGCTATTCAAACAACTTCTACAATTTGCTATCCAACAAAATTTAAACAACCATACATATAATGACCGACCCCTTTATCGGATTCAATAAGTCTGAAGTACGAGTCCGAAACCATAATAGTGGTGCAAAATCATTATCGATCACATACAAATGCGTCGAAATGAAAATTGTCCATTAGGGTATTGATCAACCATCCTGCCAAGATATTCGAGCTAAACTTTCTCGACAGTTCTTCCGCTCTTATATTTACTGGTTGAAGTGATACCCCGAAGTTCCCACATGAATGTGAACTGTGTAGACTAAAGCAGCCACTATTAGAATTTCGGTGTAAAATCGATAGTTTTGTCAAATTCCAGTTATATGAAAGACATTACTTTCAGTTTAAACACAGGATTGCCCGTTATTTTGGCACGAGTACGCTATTTAATAAGTCGTGAAAAACGTTTGTATAAAACATAGAGATTTTGGGCACAGCCGGGAATGAACAGTTCGGTGTTTGTCTTCTGCTGATTTCATCTGTCCGTAGACAATATTTGCTCACCTGGTGGAACAACTGCTTCTCATGTTTCGTGATCAACTGTTTGGCACCGCATGCACGTCAGCTCTTCTTGCAATCACGGTCATGTCAAGTCCGCGCGTTATTCACTTTAAACTAGGAATTAGATCGGCCGTTCAAATATAAGCGCCATTCAAACGGGATTGTATCAGAGTGGACATTGGTTATTTCGCGCCTACTTTGAATTATTTACTCTTATTTTCGTCTAGTAGTGAAACACAGTCAGGTTTGATGTGCTGCTAATTGAGTCATAGCCCTGGATGCTAATGCTGAAACGAGTGAGATGTGCCGCCTGCAAAAGACGTGCAAAGGTGGTTTTATTCTACACCTGGCACGGAGAAATGATTAGATGCCCGATGAACGAGTGGGTATTATATTTACGTTTTACATGGGAGGTTTTGAGTTCAATCCTCAGGTGGGTTGATGAATTCTCTTGGTCTGTTCCAGTCTGAAACATCTGTACAGAACTTTGTAGCTTCCCATTTCACGTTTCATTTACTCGGTCGACGACAAACTTATACATAAATCAAATTTTCCTTCACAGTCATCTGTGTTGCAATGTTTTTCTTTAGACTGTTCAAGATGCCAATGTGGCAACCACGAAATAAAGGGACATTCTATTATTTATCGCGCTAGACTCAAACCAGTTTATTTAGGCACACAAGTAGTAATTAGTGGTTATGGGTGTTAAGGCACTCGGTGAATGTGGCGACGACAGTAGTTTTTCATGCACCGGTTGAGCTCAAGCGAATGTGAGCAGGCAATTTTGATAACCCATTTCCGGTTTATCGCCAAGTGTGAGCACCATTAGCACCCTACAAATAATCATACGTAAGAGATCAAAGCGAACACTGCCAACGCCCAATATGAACCCAGCTTTCCGTGGGTTACTGTGGCCGGCTTTTAAGTAAAAATTCATGAATGATGTGCTGTTCGTAAGGGGAAAGCTGGTCAGCTCATCCCCATATCAATTTTAGGTCACCGGCACTGGAACAGATCACGAAGTACGATGAAAAACGTTTGGAAATTCGTAGTTTGCACTGGACAGATGGAAATCCTTTAGGACAAAAATACCCATTGTTTTAATGATTTCAGACAAAATCAACCGGTCACGGATCCCATGCAATCACATCAAATGGACGGAAAGTCTGCTGGTGTGACTGCCAAATGTAGCATGCGCTCTGGGGGATAGTTGGGTGCAAAACTCACCGTCTTCGTCCGCTTCATTCGCATCGCGTTGGTCGACTCGCCAATTTGGCATGTCCTTGATATCCCCATCCGCCTCATACTCGTCCAAGAGGAATTTGAGCAATGTAGGAGGGATTTGAGGATAGATTGAGCGCATTCCACTCCAGGACATCTAGCCGTGAGAGAGAGAAAGGGAACATCAAGTGAGACCGAGTGAAAGATTCCTACAGGCTATTTTGGAGAAAGCAATGTGCTGGTGCTTTTTATCTTTGACGGGCTTTTTAAGTATTCACGAACAAATAGTTATACGCATCCAAAGTTTCATGAAACGTTGACGGTACAAATACAATTCACCTTTAAAATTTCTTTTGGAATCGTTGCAGATACCACCGAAACGTACAAGCACTGTCGCTTAGCCGCAGCGTTCTATCATAGGGAAATCCGAAGCTGCTTTTTCGAAGTAAATATCAATAAGAAGGTGAATAAGAAGTGACTGGAGAAATCTTTGTAGAAATTAAAACAGACTCACGTAACTGCTTACGTCGAATGATGCCTAGAAATCGGTTACTAGTACATTCCAAAACTATTCTTTTATATAATTCAATTTTTGGCTAGCCAGAACCTTCTGCCGTGAATTCTCCAGTAGAAACACTGCTTTATTTCGGGTAACAACACGGCTTTCATCACACGAAGACAAATCATGGGCTCAATTTTTCAAGAAACAGTTTGAACACAGAAAAACAAGTATACCAAATCTCTCAGCACTAACGACTGCGTTGAAAACAATGTCGATTCTGGTATTTTAAGTAAGGATGTGCTGATCAAAGCTAATCTACACGTGATTCTAACTAAAGTTGTGTTTTAAAACGATTTCAGCCGGAGCATTGAAATAACTCCGACCAAGATGAAAGGTTATGCATTTAGTTTAGTCGATATGTTACACCTTCTGATCAAAGTTCGACACTCTTCGTACCGACTTATAGACATCCTCGTTATCAGGCACGGAATGTGTGCCATACAATTTCGATCTATTACCCAGTCGATGAAAGGACATCCTTCACCGTGAGTAAGGCCCAACCATGTAGGGAATGTTTCTGGGGATATAGATACAAACGCTTTTCACTCGGTTGTATGCTTGGTAAAATTTTCATTACCATTTGATTAGTATAACTATTTTACTAGTGCAATCAATAAAATATACAGCAAAATAGATTTTTGTGAATGACTGCAAATGATCCAAAAGGACACTATCATTTTTTCCTCATCAGACGGAGAATATTGTAAATGTCACTGTATTTTACTTTTGTTTTTTCAGCATAGGGTAAACTTGACACAATTCGTGGATAAAAACAAACAAACATGCGGCTGGATATATTTGTCGCCACTCACGGACACTTTGAAAAACAAAGACACGGGGAATCGCCATAAAAACCTTTTTGGCCCCAAATGCAAAGAGTTAAACGAATTTCCCCAGTACAGAGTCTCTGTCAAATGTGCCTACTTGGGTTTACGCTTTGGATCCCATCCTTGGCCGATCGGGGGGAATAGATATGGAAAGTAGAACAGGACAAATTTACTACCGAATAAAAAAAGGCATAGGACAACACGTCTATCGGATGGACGGTAACGTGCTTGTTTGTAGAAGAAACTTCACGGTAGTGACCCGGTTACCTTGCTTAGT